TTTCATACAAAAACAACAAATCATAAGCACGAAAAACGACTACGTTATATAACTCATAACGTAAGTATTTATTATTTAATCATTATACATACATGTATATACAATGTATACTTTGTATAATGCGTCAGGTAACTTTGAATCTTTTATCAAGATTACATAGAGGATATTTGTTTGTTTGTGTGTTAGATGAAATTTTATTTCATCGAGTGGGCTTTAAAACAGTATTCTCACGAGTGGCGTAGCTTTATACAAGTTAAAACGAAATTTCCATAATATTAACGTTAATATTAAAATCTGTTTATACCATTGAGAGCCCCATTTAGTCGGAATTTCTCATTAAAAACAAGAAGTCTTGAGCTGAAAAATAAGTCCGACAATCAACGTTAAATGACGGTGATATTGTTCATTTTATTTATAAAAAATATGAATGATCGCTTGTTTTAATAATAAAAACAAACAATTCCAAAAAATAGTCCAACCATCTACCTATATTTCTGTTACTTACTGCGAATTTTTATTAGACCTGGCTTTGTTAAATGTAAGCGGCAGTCATTTTTTAAAGTTGCGCATTTCACGGGAGGAAAATAATTGTGTTTGATTCAGAGGGATATCATTTGGATATGTTAGTCATACACCTTTTTAAAAGAAAGAAAACTTATTTGAGGATTGTAACAGACAAAAAAATAAGTGTTGACAGATGTGAAAACATTAAAAAAAGCAGATAGGAAAATGGAAAACTTGGAAGCTGGCTCAGGAACGCTGGGTTGTTTACTTGTTCTTCGAGCTGATTGATGTCATTGCTTTTCAAGTTTTCATAAAGCATACGGTTCTTATTGCTCGTAGGATACTTTAATATGCCCAAATCTCATCTAGAGCAGTTTTGCATGTGGAAGGAATGTATTTTTTTTTCAGACTGTAAAAATGAAACAAAAAAATTTAGAGACGAAATTTGGTGATTGGAATTTGAATGGATAGAAGTAAGTTTTCCTCTTTTTATTACTTTTGACATTTAAGTTATTTATCAATTTCAGCTTTGCTTTTTCTTTAAACAGCCTGACATTGTCAGAATTGTCAGCAAAAATAATATTGAGGTACAACATGGGGAAAATCTTAAAATAGTAGTTCCGTCATTGAAAAGTGTGAAATTATATTTTGATAATTTTCACTGTGAAATTATCAAATATAATTTCCACGGATAACTCAGTAATCCACTAAAAAGCATAAAATAAAACGCTTGCATTACTTTCATTTTCTTTCAAAAAATGGTGGAGCAATTTTATTAAAGTGAACGTACGAGGACAACATACGGGTACTTGGTTAAAATCCTTGTTTAAAGACACAAAATAACAAAATAATAATATATATAGAATGCACCGAGATGATTTAGATGTTCAAGGTTGCGTTTCATAGCAAGTCTTAAGTGTGAAATTTATCTAAAGACACAACCTAAGACAATATTGCGTTTAAAAAAATGCCCTAAATTATAACTCCTAGCTTATTTCTCCACGAAATGCCCTTTAGCAGTTCCAATTCAAATCTAAGTGAACAAAAAAACCGTTCTACATAGGACAAATTTAAATAAGGTCTAATGTATTTAATTAAGAATTTATGATGTTTATTGAAATAGTCCTAAAATTTTCCTAGCTTCACATTAATATTATTAATTATTAAAACACTGTCATTTTGTTAAACTTTTTAATTGGAAAAAACAATAACAGCCATAACAACAACCACACAGTGGTGTATAGAAGATAAATACATGTAAAATAATTACACATTCTTATATTTTATAATAAGTTAACACATATCACAAGAGGGCGTAGTTTAATTCTCAACTTAAAGGTTATTAGAGGAGCGAATATATAGAGGATATTTGTTTAGTTCAGTGTAAGATAGAAATTTATTACATGCTTTTCGGTGGTTTATAGAAATATATCAGTGATATAAAAACTGGTAATTTCACTGTTTGAAACAGTGAAATTACCACTTTGATAATTTCACTGTTTTGAATTTTAGCCCCTTACGTTGTTTCAGTGAAATACCAGCGTGCACAGAACTGGGTACCAACTTAATGACGTGACGTCGTAAATGACGTCACGTTGTATTATAATTAGGCGCGCTTTTCATTCAGTATTAGGTTTAATGTCTTTTAAAACGTTTCTTTGCATATAATAAAAAGAAAATTTGTTTAGTTTAGTGTAAGATCGAAATATATTTCACCTTGTGATCACCAAAAGTTCATATTTCACTCGTGGCTGAGCCACTCGTGAAATATACCTTTTGGTGCTCACTCGGTGAAATATATTCCGATCTTACACTGAACTAAACAAATATCCTCTATATATTTCACCGAGTGAGCACCAAAAGGTATATTTCACGAGTGGCGAAGCCACGAGTGAAATATGAACTTTAGGTGTTCACAAGGTGAAATATATTTCGGTCTTACACAAAACTAAACAAATTTTCTTTTTATTATATGCAAAGAAACGTTTTCAAAAGACATTAAACCTAATACTGAATGAAAAGCGCGCCAAATAATAATACAACGTGACGTCATTTACGACTTCACGTCATTAAGTTGGTACCCATTACTGTGCACGCTTGTATTTCACTGAAACAACGGAAGGGGCTTAAATTCAAAACAGTGAAATTATCAAAGTGGTAATTTCACTGTTTCAAACAGTGAAATTACCAGTTTTATATCACTGATATGTTTCTTTAAACCACCGAAAAGCATGTAATAAATACCTGTATGTGTCTTATTATATATTGGGGTTGCGTTCAATGAACGCCGCCTTTCCTTGTTGATCTTGTTTATCATATTTCAGGTGTACATGGTCACATACAAGAGCAATAATTCAAAATAGGTATACAGTATTTTTAAAAAGTGGTAATTTATGATGAAACACGATACTATAATTTTGTGTTATTGTATAGGACTGATTATTTCCCTTATCTTGATATTCGGTCATTTAAATAAAATGATTAATTAATTAAGCTATAGAAATTTGATATGTTAAGTTGTAATTTATATTAAAGTATATTGAAATTACAGATATAACTATTTAGCACTATTGTGATTTAAATAGACCAACCGATCTGTCACAAATTTGTTTTTTATCTGTATTAACATTTGTGAACGCGCACCTCAAACTTCACAACAATTATTAAAATGATCTCAAAACAACTTTAAAATAATAAATTACTTTACTGATAACGGAAAACGTTATTATGATCAGATATTTGAAGTTCAGCTTTAATTTAGCAAAACAATATTTACAATTACATAGACTCGTGAATTATAAGGCAACGTACATCCTGGTGTATAAAAAATACATAATTTCCATACCCTAGAACAAAATGGGATAGATCAGATTAGACTTTAATTCAACTTAAACTAGAAATAACTTGTCCCTGCTGAGAGCGACTATTTTATGCAGAAATATTACTCAACACACAATACTCGACACCATAGCACTTGCAACATAATTGTTTGATTTATATTCAAGTAGTTTGTATTAAGAATGACCATATTTCCATACTTACTGTGCATAATTAAATTTGATATAATTATGATGTTTGATGATAATATTAAAGGCACATTATGCCTGGGGAAATCCATAGTTATTTAATTCTATAGAAATGTCAAAAATGTTTTGATTATGGATTTATGGTATGTTAGATGTTTAACAGCTGAGGAAAGTACAGCTGAATATGCAATAATGTGTCTTAAAGGTAGCAATATATAAACAAAGTAGTATTTTGACTTCCATACAAAATACTTATTCGCCATAATCATATCAATTGCCAAAAAAGCAAAAGGAGCAAAGATAATGCATCTACATGTATATAGCAAATGGATATTTTTGAAGCTGTATTACGATACAAAAATAAAAAGTTTTTGAGAATAAAAAATATAGCATTTCTGAGGCACAATGGGCCTTTAACTGAGTATGACATCTTATAATAAATATCACAGTAAAACCCAGCCTTTCAACATGCAAACATGTGTCATGCAAATAGCCATTGAATAAAAACCAAGTAAACAATGCTCATTAAAATGCAGTCTTGCACAGCTTTCGAACTACATAATGATTATTATTTATGTTGGTTGCGAATGCTTGGATTTCTTCATAGTTATTCATGCCATGAGTAAAAAACTACAATTTTATATCCCTTTTTGTTAAACAGGACAGTTGGGTGATATTCAATCATCTTTCGGCTGCATTATAGGTAATTATAAATATCAGTTTGTGAGTATCAAGTTTTTTAAAAGTCAAGCATTTTAATGACACTGCAATTTTCTGAATCAAAACGTTCACTAATAAACAATTTTCCTTTGCCTTCTACAATGAGGATGGACACTGGCCTCCCTACATCTTGCAAGTAGATATATTGCATTTCTCTTGTTCTAGGTACAATGACACCGACCTTGTCGCTCTTATTTGGATAACAAACAACGACATAATCGCCGTCGGCGACTGTCATGCCAGCTGGCCGTCCCATCTCCTCATTTTTTATTGTTTTTGTTAGATGTCCTTCAAGTGTAATTCATACAAAGCTTCGTTCTCCCAGTCAGAGACGTAACATTTTCTCCTTATATATTCTATCAGAGAAACATATCTTGGATACTTTAGTACGGTAGTATCAAAGACTTGATGAAGAATATGTCTTTCATGTCTAATACCTGAATAGCAGGAGGATCATAGAATGATACAGCCAGTGTACCATTGTGATGATCGATTCCAAGCACCCTTCCCTGACTTTAAGTTTTTCGACTAACAGACAATCCGTTTTGCGTATCAAGAAACAAGATTTTGTCCTCATTTAGTAAAGTTGTTGCAGCACAGTTGGAATTAATTGTCGTAACCGTCTGCTGGGGGACTGGCTGTTTTCCTAAGGTTGATGTGATTTTACCCTGTGCATAATTAAAGACTTTTAATGATCTGTTGATTTGATCTGCACAAGAATTTCAGTTTCAGATATGATTGTCATACTCCTTATGTAACAGTCCATTCCTGTTTCGTCTTAATATCGAACTTCTGCGACAAATGAGCTTTAATGCCAATGATACACTCCCTGCATTTTCCTGGGTATTTCTTTAATTGCTTATCAAGATGGCCTATGCTTTTGTTATCTATTTTCAAAGCGTTCATTTCTTCAGAAGGAGTGAATTTGAAAGTGTGGATTTGACTTTTAGATGAAATATCCTTATTTATTTCGTGACATTTCTGCAGTTTTTCCTGCACAAGTTTAGATGTAACAAACAAGTTATTAATATTGTCTTTACACTGTTCTAGTTTACTCTGTAATATGACAATTTCATCATTTATTTCATCGCATTGATCATGAAGTTTCTTCTGTGTACGAACATCACAATCATTAACCATTTCTACTTCCTGCATAAGAGTTTCTTCCACATTGTCAAGATAGGTGTCCATATCTTTACAGAATTGTTTAATGTCCTTAATGGCTATTGCTTTTATTTCGTCTGCTGTTTGAAGACTGCATTTGATTTCTTCTTTACATGACGCCAGACTTTTCTTCAGATGATCAATTCTATACTTGGTATAAACAAGTTCGTCACTGACATTACATTTTCTGGAGACGTCTGAAACGAGTTGAATCTTGCAGGAAGTATGTTTAAGAACCATACAATCTCTACATCCAACACTATTGTGTTCGTTGCAGTAAAACTTTACTATTTCGTTCTTATGGTAATCACAGAGTTCCGTGCATGCATCATTTCGAGCAGTAAGAAAACTGGGCATTTCACCTTTGAATTTGATTACATGAAATTTTGTCACGGCCAACTTCCGGTGTGCTTTGATACAGGATGAGCATATAAACTCATTACAATCCTCACAATAACCCTCTGCTTGTACCGTATCATCGTCACCCTTGCATGGCTGGCAAAATAAAATAGCATCTAAAGATCTTTTACGTCCCGAAACATCCATTCCAATAACAAAAAATAGCCGTTTCCGACACAAACCTGTTTATGCACGTTTAAGTCCGCGATAATAGAGTATAGTTTTTTGTTTTGCTATGAACCAACGTTGCTCCTCTTTTTCTGTACACTCATTTCTTAATTTTGAAAACAACTAAACTATCGTTATAAAGATAAATTTATTTACACTACATTTTTGTTACTCGTGGTAGACTAAATATCTTGTATATATTTTCGTGAACTGTGATATCAAAAGATAAAAAATCTAGGCTTTTGATTGGTGTCTAGACGAATGGAGATTAATCAATAATGCAATATTACCGTATATGATTTAGTTAAAGTTATATGTTTACTTTGTTTACTGAATTGCAAGTACATTTTATTTGAGCTTTGTGACAACAGTATTCGTCACGTATATGCCTAAACATTATAATATATGCTTAAACACTTTTTTTCCAGTATTTTTATTCTCCTAAACTGGGATGCATATATTCGCCGTTTGTCAGTCCGTCCGAATAACTAGATAAGGTTTTTCGGCAATTTAACAGTTAAGCGTTCCGTTCAATTCTTTCTGCAACAATAGAATAAGTAGCCGTCAGCTACCTATAAAACGAAGCAATCCATGTTTAAATATACAAATGTATTCACGTACTCATGTTGGTGATAAAGCTAAAAATAAAATAGTATATTATTAGAATGTGTGAGTCTGTGTAATGTTGGATATGAGAATTGGTGAAACTATGTTGTTACCAGTCTTTTTAAAAATGAAATGTTTGCGAATCACAAATGTATATTAATAATATACCACACAGCACTTGACCGACTAGCATATTCAGGAATGGGCGCTAACAGCGCTAAACTTTTTTACTTCACAATTTAAATTCAGTTATATTAAAACAAACATCCGACAGAATAAGAATCAAATAAGGTTCATTTTTTATTCTTTAGCATACACAATGATAAAAGACAATGTTTCATTTCACTAATAAAATAAGAATAGTGGACGGAACAAGCATTTTTACATTTATATTCTGATAGCAGAAAAATAAAAACGAACCATGATATATGTATTTAGTTTACATAATAGCGGTAACATTGTTAAAAACACAGAAACCGAGCGATAGTTTTGAGGAAAAAAAATGAAATACATTTTAATCTGGTTTTCTCTTGAATTAATGTAATTTAATATGTAAAATGCACAAAATAATTTGCAAAAAATCACACACCTAAGCTGTATCACAATGGCCTCTCCCCGATAGTGAACAGACTTTTAGTTTCAATTCTTTATGAATATGAGTGTTTAAATATTCTTATCATTATTATGTAAAATACTTAGTTTCTTGTTATCTTTCAATATGAATGTTTACTGATAAATATGATATGTAATAAGTTGATAAAGAAATGAGAATGATTTGCTAAACACGAATAACGTGAATATAAGTAGCTTTAACGGTCAGTTCATTCCTTCAGGATGTTTCACAATTTCTTCAATTACGTTATGGATAAGTACGAGTTTTTCTTCAAAAGTGTCTTCTTACAGACGTAAGAAAATTTCGCCTCCGAAATTTCTTGTTTATCCTAGCCAACTGTCTCCTTCACGTCTGCAAGAAGACACTTTTGAAGAAAATACGAGTGACTGTATTTGACTTATACGACGTTTTTTTTAAAAGTGTAAAGAGCAGATAAATAAAAAAAATGCATTTACTGATAACTAGATTTTATTGAAAATAATGTATGTTCTTGCTGAAAATGTAATTCTATATAAATAGCTGCATGGCCTATAAGATTATGGCAGTGCAAGGTGTGGGTAAATTATATTATAAATGTTCGTGCACTTATTTCAATCGGACAAAATTGACTTCCATTCATTAACGAACAATGTTAAAATGGCTTCATCAAAATGGTGTCATATTTGCTAAAACTGATTATGTCGATGAACATTGAAATATATACCAAACATCTATTGCGTCAATCTAAAATGGATAAATGTTGTGAACCTCAAAGTTGTTAAGTTTTCTTATTTACATTTTTAACGCAATGGCCGTTGATTTATTTATCTATTTATTTATTTTTCGGGGAGGGGCGGATGAGCGACAGTAAATGTCATTTTTTTTCCTGATAGAATGTCAGACGGTTTACAAGAAAAGATAGAGTGTCAACATCATCCAACGAACAACCGTTTCGTCGAAAAAAAAACAACAACAGTCGACAGTAGCTTTGTTCATGGAAATGACCATATATTTCCTTTATTCTTTTTTCGATAAACTAAAATTGCTGAATTGCGCTATCAAGTTCGCTACAACTTTCCGTCTGTTTCTATAGTGTGCTGTTGAGGCAGATAAATTTTCGCCTGATAAGTTTTAAGACTGACTGAATCTCTTGTTATTGCTCGCCTATTTGAAGACTAGGGGGCGCTATTGTACTCACCCAGACATCGGTGTCGGCGTCATTCTTTGGTTTGGTATTTGCGTGCAAGTTGGTGTCTCCAAAACTATTAAAGGGAAGGAATGAAACTTATTTGAGAGAATAATATGCTTTATCCAAGGCCCATTACTCTAATGCGGATTTTGACAGAACTTTTGGACCTTTTCTACATTATCCAGACTCGTTTTTGTACCAAGCACTAAGAATAGTGGAGCGCATAGATAAGTAGCTAGATATTACATTCTCTTTAAAAGAACATGCATTGTAGTCACGGGTGCTGTTGTTAAGATAAAGTTATTGAAAGAAACATGCGAGAAAAAAATGAATGTTAATCATCTATAAAAATACAGAAGGGCGACAGAAGACTTTTAGAGAAAAGGTGTCTTAATACTGGCCCAAACAGGACACCGAATAATGCAGCTGCACTAATTCTGCTTGAAAGGTAACAGTTCTTTAAAAGTGTCTTCTTACAGACGTAAGAAGACAACTTTCGAATGACTCTGCTGGGGTATAGTCGTATAAAATAGCTTGTAAAGTGCCTACTATTTTAAGCTTTTTAAGCATGATTTTGTTTGTTTAACAAAATGTCACCTTGATGGATGTAGTAAAACAAGATAAACAATTTTCGTAACATTCACTTTAATTTGAACAAAACCTAAAATAAACACAACAAAATTGGGAACTTAAGAAGAAATACGGCTTCAGACTATAATCGCTCACTGAACATGTACATCTGTAATGTGTTTCCCTGCATGCGGATAAATAAATTAAGATTTTATGATCAAGTGTAAAAAAAAAATTTCAGTACCGGTTACATGACCCATCAAAAATAAGACAAAACTAGAATTGTGTCTATATGACACATAAGCCCCCACTAATCCAGTGCTACTAGATACAATTATATGCCTAGACACTACATTTCTGAAGTCCATGTATCTCTCTTTTATTTTTTTATAAAAATAAAAAACCCAATAATAAATAATCACTTCAATAATTCAGTTGTACAGTCATGAGCCAAAAGAGAAGATAAAAACACTAATGAACCAATGGAGAAAGATAACAGTTAATCAAAGACGCAAGGTTGTGAAAATGAATTGTTAGATAAAATAATGATTTCAAAAAATAGAACTTCTAATTAAAGAGCAACGTTAAAGGTAAAAATACAAAATGGTGTATTACACAGGTGCACATGCTCATCAACATTTCTGTAAAGTTTTTGTGACAAGCCGTATGGCTTTTTGATTTACATGCGACGCAATTTGAAAATTGAAAATTTTTACATGATTCAAGGACCATAACTCTAACATTTCTAAATAAATCTACACCTGCAATCCCAGGTGCTTAACTTAACATGCTGATCAACATTCCTGTGAATTTTTTTTTTACTGTAGCTTTAGCAGTGTTGGAGATAAAGGCACCACAAGTTGAAAATTGAAAACATTGACTAAGTAAGAGGCCATAACTCTAAAAATTCCAAATAAATCCTCACTTGAAACCCCAGATGCACAAGATCACACGCCGATCAACATTCTGGTGGAGTCTCTTGACTCTAGCTTCAGTACTTTTGGATATACCGGCGACAGAAGTTTAAAATTGCAAAATTTGACTAAATAAGGGATCATAACTCTTAACAAATCCAAATCAGTCCACACCTGAAACACCAGGTGCACATCTCCATACGCTGATTAATATTCCTGTGAAGTTTCTTGACTCTAGCTTAAAAAACACTTCTGGAGACACAGGCGACACGACATTTTGGGACGAACGGGCGGACAGCTTCACCGACAAGGGCGAATCTAAATGCCCCCACTCTGAGGGGGCATACTTGAAGGATCATCACCGAAATTATGTACAATCTTTGACTGACATCAACAATATCATAAAATCATTTAACAAAATTGAATAAATATTATTTCTAGAATAATTGTAAATGAGGGGGAAACAATTTGAAAATCAAGCAAAGCAGGGTTATGGCTCTTGGTTACTGCAATTACTCTGACTGATCTATATCGTTTTTTACAGTTAAAATTAATTTCTTTCATCTTAGTCTTGGAGCATGGGTGACAGATGAATGGACAAGGTGACCAGTATGTTCACCCTATCTCTATTGGGAGTATAATAAACATGTCTAAAACGAGTGTCTTTATCCTTTTCTAAATTCTGATTTTGTAAGTAGTCAAGAATAGTCAAAAGATAAATATACTAGTATTGTTCTTTTTGTCTGAAATAAGATAGCATTTTGTACATGCGTCTATAATGAAGCATATTTTCTTCCATATTAAATTATTCATTTGGCATATTAATTAATATAAATCATATTCAGAACTAACACTGCAGGTGATTCATACTCTCACCCATCACTTTAAGCTAATTCAAAATGGAGTTGTCTGATGTCAAAATTGATCTGGACCTATAGTTTATGATGTTTCATCAGTGAATCAATGATAATTACAATTAATTGCCTTGCTAAAAGGGTATAATAATCTGCTAACCATGATTGTGGTAAAAACAAAAGGGCAGATAACTAAGTAAACAATAATCTTATGTATAATTAACTTGAAGTCTTTCCTCAAAGATTGCTGTGTCCAAGTATAAGGACAATTTCATTCATAGATAACTAAGCTACAGCCCCAAGTATATTTATAATATTTTCTACGTTAGAAAATACATATAATTATGTCAAACTTAAACTGTCAGAGTAATGAAACTTTACACACACGCGCAAACGCACGTGCACAGATTGGTCCAGGTACTTATAATTTCCATTTGTAATTAAAAGGTTTATCGTCAAGCACAGCAAAAAACAGTGAGAATTCAATAATTACACATTCCAGGTCAATGACATTTAAAAGTTAAAGTTAGTTTGATCTTCATAAAGGTTTCGTCTTAAGGATGTCGAATCTATATACGAAAACAGTCCATTCATGAACTAGAGCTGCCACAGGACTGACGAATACCCCACCTGATCTCTTTGCCACAGCCTTTATTTGGTAGCATAATTTATAAATATAAAAAACACTTTTACTTCAAAGGTGACCTTAATTCTGCAAAAAATGGCATGGGTTATGCACATTGCCTTGTTAATGTGAGCATTTTAATCAGGTTAGAAAAATACTTCAAAATAAAAGGATAACTAGTCTAAGAGTAATTGTCTGATTTTTGAACTTTGACCTCCAAGGGTGACCTTTACCTTGAGCCAGAAAGGCTGTGACATGGGTTTTACCAATTGCAATGCTTAGGTTAACATGATCCAAGTTTAATGGAAATCTATCAAGGGGAATACAACTTTCACAGCAAAAACAAAATTGTATGATATTTGACTTTTGACATTTAAGGGTGACCTAAAGCCAGCACACAGTGGTATGACTTTTGCATAACACGTTGTTAATATGGGCATTTAAGTCAAGTTTAAAGAAAATTCTTTGTAAGGATTTACTGAAGATCCTTAAACTTGTCTGATAGTTAACATTTGAATTTAAATTGTAAACTTGGCTTTGAACCAGCAGAGTTGTGATACAAGTTCTGTGTCGACATGTCTTTATCTGAAAAAAATATTTGTAGTTAGCGTGCAGTGACATTTTCAGTTCTTCGATCACTTCTTAATTATTATTGTTGGAACAGTCCCGCAAAAGCTGGTCACGGTATCCACTGTATCCAAGTCGTAGTTTTGCAATAACCTGTGGGTCAATTCTTCTGTCAATGCCATCTGCATGAATCATATCAATGTTGACCGACGTACATTCAGGACATATTTAAGTTAAAGTCTTTTCCACATTGCTTTATAACCAATACATTTACCACTCCCAAATAGTTCTCCACGAATTGCACGAAAAATAAGTATCTTCATTATTCCATACTACTGTAAATTAAGTCCCTTTATGATTCTTTAGGTGACGATAACTATCTTTAATTCCTTGAATCATCAGACGACTAGCTTATATCTCTTTGTATATATATCCCACCGAGAAATAGTGAACAGTTACTATCAAATCCCTCATCGCTTCTTTATTTGCGTTCTCCTGTAGCCAATGCAGGAAACGCCATAGAAATAATGATGAAATATAACACCAGCATCTGCAATTAGATCAGACAATACAATTACATAATATATCATATCTTGTACACTGTAGAGATTGAACCCTGATATATATTTTAAACAGTATTTTAAAATAAAAACTTCTGGTTTAGACCCCGGCCGGAGTCTTATTCAAGATAGGGGGCTACATTACGATGCAATACAAACCGCAACCATGGGATTGCAATCGGGACAATATAATAATCTTTTAGGGTAGGTAAGTTAATCAGACAGACCTTGACCTTCACTCATAAATGAAGTTGATCTTGAAGGTCAAATTATGGAAATTTTCATATTTTTTTTTGCTGACATTGGCTAAAACTTAATTTTCAATGAATGCATTGACTTCATATCATAACCAAACATTCCTTAGGATAAGTTTTTATCTTTATGTATATTACATTATTAGACTCAAATTGACCTTGGCTCTTTTATGATCTTGACCTTGAAGGTTAAATTATTGAATTTTCACTGACTTTGGATATAATTGACTGTACGTTAATAATTTATAAATGAATATCTTCAAATCTTAACGAAAAAAGTTTCAGTCAAGAATTACGTCTTAAAGGTTAAACAGATCTTGACATTGAGCCTTAAATATTACCTTCTATAATTAACCCATGACTTCATGAGCATTTTGTGAAAAATGACTGTTTTCATTGAAAAGTCTCCCGTTACAAGTTCAAATAGCTATAAAACTAGAAAAACTGCTTCAATACTAATCAAACTTGGCACAATATTGACAGGACCATTGCCTTTGTAACAACATGCTCAGGCTTAAATTTGCTGTTACCATGGCAACAAGGGAACATCTCAAAATTGCCAAAAATCACCATTTGCGTTGATTTTTTGCATCAAAATTGATTTCAAAGTGCAACAACTTCTCAATGGATTGAGATAGAGTCAAATGCTATTCAGCGTTGGTTACACGTTACTTTATGATCGATCTGGGGTCATTTTTAGCCTCTCACAAGTCCAGAATTTTCTTGGCGAGTGTTGGGGGGCCTAAATGAGGCATTTTTGACAACAAAAAGGAGGACAGGATGAAAAAGGCGTAACAAGGCGTGTTTATCGGGTAATGGTTTAAGTAATCAAGTTCATTTTAATTCTTTAAAGCTCGGTGACATGTTGTACATCGGAAATGCTATTTTCATTCGAGAATCTAAAATCAGACTCAGTGTAATTTTAATGACTAAAAATTTCCCCCATTGCTGAATGAACGAATGCATATCTACTTGCCATCGCGTGCACGTTGCGTTTAATAATGTACTCATCACTGTACAATAACCTCTATTATCGCATGGTTTGGTTACTAACCCATTATACTCAGTACACTTCAATGAGCATTTCAAAACTGTATTGATATATAACAGTACGGTTTTTTCATTGACTCATATAGGAAAAAAACTCAACTGTTATAATATATCGGTCGAGTTTTTTTCGCACCTTGTATATATCAATGCAGTTTTTTTCATAGAGGCTCCAATGGGGCAGTGGTAACGAACATTCCCAGTAGCAAAAAATAAAATAAAATAAAAAAATGAAGTCAATAAAATACAATAAAATAAATATATAAATACAATGAAAAATATAAAGAAAGATAATTAATTAATTAAAATTTACTCTCTTAATCAAAAGGTACATCCGCTGAATGAATTATTTCCACTGACAAAAAGCCCTTTAATCTTGAATCAATCTTGGTAACAGTATACAATCCGCCTCTAATATTGGATGTCTTTTGTATATTTTTTTTTGCGGCAGCGAAAGCAACTCTTATCATAAATAACTACAGGTAGTGTAGCTAACGATTTATTTATTTATTTATTTATTTCTATTACTTAAAAAAGAAAACATTATTTCATTGCGATAAAACAGTTAAAGTAAATGAAACTCGTTAGTTACGGGGGTATAACTCGGGATGTTTCTGCAATAAAAATTGTCTCGGCCTAACGGCCTCGCCATTTTTTTAGCAGAAACACCCTTTGATGTCGCCCCAGCCAGTGTTATATCCTCGTAACTAACTCCTTTCATGTACTATAACTATTACATAACACATGTCCCATTTTTCACAATTTTGTTACTTCGAGTGCAATATAGATTTAAATGCACTTTTGTAGACTCTGAATATAAAAGAATTGACGATCAATAGAATACAATTTGGATTTGAAAAGGTTTTTTTCTTTTACTTGGAAAATGAAAATGAGGCTAGATTGAAATAAATATTGATATAGTATTGATTGTCCCCATTGTTTGGACCTGAAACATGAATCATAATTTCTATCTGGCATTGTGCAAAAATCATACAAATCTGGTACTTTTTATGTGAAATCAAGAATTCTATTACGCATGTTGTATAAATTTAAGAAAATGCGGGATTTGCACCTCTTGCTTTAAATGTCTATGTACAGGCCTGGGTTTGACTTATGTCACAAATATTAAATAGTTTCTATTAAACCTTCATGTACTATGGAATATGTGGCGATAGGTAGTATTTTTCTTTATTGCAGATTTCGAAATAATCAGTTTCCATTTTATTAAGTTAAAGGGGTTAGGTCTAGTTTCGATTCTGACCACGTTAGATACGCCTGTGTAATTTTCAAGTTTCGTTTTCAATTCTTTGAAAATCATTTTTTTTTCAAAATAAACTATCAAGTATGATTTTTTGAAAATAGGAAATGTTAAACCGCAAAATCAATATTTAAGCAAATCGGGACTATTCGGAAAGTTATTCAAAGTGAAACGATTAGTTTGCAGCTCTACTCGTTTAATGGAATTAGTTTTGGCAAAGGTAATTATGATATTTTAGCATTCTTTGTTGGGCTATGTGCCAGTCAAATGTCCCCCACTGGTAGAAAAAATACTAACAAACGATGAGAAAAGAGAAAAAGAGAATTATAAAAGATAAAAAAAGAGATAAAAGTAACTATACTGTACAAGGCTGCATTTAAGTTACTAGTTTCGTTTCTTATTCTTGCATGAAAGACAGAAGAAGCACGTCCACCGCTTAGTTAGGAACAACTGTTGGTTTTAAATGATTTTTAGCAATGTTTTAAAATTTGAAAGAGTTGGTGCATCACAAATGGTTTGGGAAGTTAAATTCATAATTTGATTGATCATAATGGAATTACATATTTAGAATATATTTCTGTACGTGTTTGCACTGTTAAAAAGTTAGAGTTATTTCTCAAATTGTAATGAACAATTCATTCGCTACGGACTTTTAAATAGATATCTTAAGAGGTTATAATAACGGATTTGACTAATGTAAAGAATAGCTTCAAATCCGCAGTTTACGTCTAAATATTTTGAATATATACAGGTCTGAGTTTGACTTATATTACAAATATTAAATTTTAGTTTCTATTTAACCTACATGTACTATGGAATATGTGGCGATACGGATATGTATTATTTTTCTTTGACAGTGACATATTTCGAACTTTTCAGCTGTTAAAGGGGTTAGGTGTAATTTCGATTTTGACCACGCTAGATACGCCTGTGCAATTTTCTAGTTTCGTTTTCAATTCTTTGAAAATCATGTTTTCAAGTATGATTTCTTGAAAATAGGAAATGTTACACCGCAAAATCACAAATCGGGACTATTCGGAAAGTTATTAAAAATGGAAACGATCAATTTGCAGCTTTACTCGTTTTGAAATGAAATTTAATGGAGATAGAATTAGTCTAGGAAGAATGGCAATGAATGGGTTGTATCAAAGGTAATTATAACATTTTAGCATCCTTTGTTGGCTAAAAATAAGTAGCTATGTGTCAGTCAAATGTCTCTCACTTGTAGGAAAAAATTCTAAAAACGATTAGAAAAGAGAAAATAAAAAAATGAGATATATAACAGACGAAAAAAACACATTAAACATTGACTGCTAAACCCCATGTAAGTTGTTAACAGACGACAACGATTATGACAATATTGAGTTCTTTTCTTTACGACATAAAAATCGATTTATAGGTAACATGTGTCGTGGTCCGCGTAACGGTAAAACTTGTGTTGACATTCTCTTACAGTTACTTTTCTGTAAACTCATACATAATTTGAAAAGGTCTACACCCACTCACAGGTATTCGGCGTGTGTCAAAGACCATAATGAGTACCCCTCCCCTCTCTCACCATCTCACATGCTACAACCCGACTGCCTTATTAATTAAAAAGGCAGTCGGGTTGTAGCATGTGGGATGGTGGGAGAGGGGAGGGGTGGTCATTATGGTCTTTGACACACACCGAATACCTGTGCACCCACTTGTATGATATATGGAGAAACAGGACTTTGTCCTCTATAACTGCAGGTTAAAACAAGAATATTGTGTTACTGGAGTAAGTTGATAACCTTAAAAAATGATAAAATAGGTAAAATATTGTATAATACAGTTCTTTCTTTACATGTTAATAATGTTATGACCTCTCCTTGGATCTCATTTGTTAAAAATACTCTTGATGAGCTTGGCTTATCAAACTATTTTTGTGATCAATATGTTAGTTTTAAAACTATTGTGAAACAGAGATTGAAAGACCAGTTCTTACAGAACTGGAAAGGAACCATAAATGAATCCTCTAAATGTTTAATTTATCGTGTGTATAAGAAAGATTTTTGTTTCGAGAAATACTTAGATATATTACCTTTCAATCTCTGTAGAATACTTTGTAAATTCAGAACTATGAACCACATTTTACCTATAGAGAAAGGTAGACATTTACATATTGAAAGAAATCAAAGAATATGTCATTTATGTCCAAAACAATCTCTTGGGGATGAATTTCATTACTTATTAAATTTGAATGTCACTTTTTTAATTCTCTTCGTAAAAAGTTTATTGATTCAAAATTCTCAAATCATCCTAATATTTATAAATTAGAATCTTTAATGAATAGCTCTGACCATTCAACTTTATTAAAACTTGCATTATTCTGCAAAATTATTATTTCAAAATTTAAATAACTCATTCTCCTGTAAGTCATGATTTTCTCAACTTTATGAATGTATTTACATAGAAACAATTAAGATAACTTCTGTATAAGACAAATCATGTCCAAAGAGTAAAGCTTAGTCAAATGATATGTGTTAGTCAAATTGATTTCCTTATTATATAATTTTATGTATATATGTTTTGTTAATCACTTTTGAATAACTGTTCATTATATTGTTGATATATCATAACCTTATGCATATTATATGCCCTAGTTTTGAATAAAATCTTGAATCTTGAAAAATCTTCGTTTATTCGGTTGGAAAAGGTGTAAGTAGATCTATAATCTATTTTGTTATAAGATTTATTTTTTTTTTCAATTTGGCAAAGTTAACACACAGTCAGTCAAATATTATCATTAAGTTCCCTGCATGGGTTATTATTTATATTAAATCTTTTTTAATATATAGAAATTAAGGGCCAATATATATAGTCTGTTTTTCAGTACATTTAATTGCTATCAAGTTCACGTTACGGTTCTGGGGATAAACGTGCGCATGGCATTTCAAGGGAAATATAACAGACGAGGTTCGGTTTTGGGGAAGGGGTAACGACTTATGTGTAAATTAAAGAGAAACAATCCCTACAAAGAAACAAACTTAGTAAAAGACAATTTTGTTTGCATAAATTCGACAAGACATGACAGACAATTCCTAATAAAAGTGTCTTAAATTCTGCCAAATTACTTCACTTACATAAATTCGCAAAGAATGGATCCTTTTTACGTGTTTGTGAACATTCATGAATTCGCTTTTTCTTTTAAAAATAGACAATTTTCTAATGATGTGTGCCGGTATTTATGGTAAAAATACGAACATTTAGAAAACCGAAAGTAAACATTCCAGCTCATTATTATAATTTATGCGTACTGTTTTGACGGGACATGAGTTTGAACAATTGTTAATTAGACATTATTGACCTTTATCGGGATGAAAAGAATCGCCTTCAGTTAGTTCAATTTCAAGTTTAGATTTGGACATTTAGAGTATTCATTTTTGTGTCCGTTTCAAAGCAATCTTGCATAAAACGTGAACGATACAATGCAAAGTGCATGCGGTTGTACGGACTTGGAAACCACTGTATTGCTACAAGTGTAAGAAGGCTGGACTGATGATCCATGTCTTTAGCGAGATTTTGCTTCTAACACAAATTTACAGGATATAAATCATGTAATTGATAATATGTAAATAAATATCCACACTCACAACACTTAAAAAAAATCTACAGATTTCTCCGGTTATCTATTAATAATACTAATTGTCTTTTTTGATGATACCTTAAAAATGGAGGTCCTATTTAAAGCACCAGGGTGGCCTTTAGGACGGCTCTATTACTTAATGTGCATCTCAATATGTGCAAGCGCACGTGACAATGAATAAACCGTTAGAAACAGAAAACGACTTCGATAATGTAAAATGTCAAGCTGGTACCGGTTCATTTACAGGAAGTCAACAATGTAATTTATTCTTAGCGTTTAAAAAGTACAACATTAAAAATAATGTAAGCCTCGATTATTGAAATAATACTTAATATAATCGGTCCTGGAAATAAAAGGTTTGTCAAAAGTGACAAAAAAAATAAGTGTTTATTATACCCCCGCACAACAAAGTTGTATGGGCTTCTTTCCCCGCACAACAAAGTTGTAAAGGAATCAACTTGTCCGCCCGGCCGTCTTGATATTTAGTATTGATATAAGTCATGATTAGAAGATGACCCTTATTGATTTTGAGGTCACTAGGTCAAAGGTTAAGGTCACAGGGGCATTTATAAAACATGTCCGCCTAATAACTTAAGTCTCCTTTGACCAACAGTCTTGAACTCTTCATATTTGGCATAAAGGTTAGTCAGGATTATTAGATGACCCCTTTTGATTATGAGGTCACTTGATCGAAGGTTACAGGGGCCTTTACTAAAAAAGCTTGTCCGCCCAATAACTTATACCTTTGATTTACAGTCTTCATGTTTGGCATGGATGTTAGTCATGACTATTAGATGACCCCTATTTATCTTTGAAGTCACTGGGTCAAAGGTCAAGGTCAAAGGCGCCTTTAGTTCAAAAAGCTTGTCCGCTCAATTGCTTTAGAATGCTTTGTTCGACAGTCTTCATATTTGGTATTCAGGTTGATTATGCATTGTAAATGACCCCTATTGATTTCGAGGTCAGAGGTCAAGGTCATAGGGGCCTTTAGTTGTAAACACTTGTCCGCCAAATTGCTTAAGAATCCTTTGATCCACAGTCTTCATATTTGACATGGAGGTTACTCATGACCATTAAATGACCCCTATTATTTTTGAGCTCACTGACTCAAAGGTTAAGGTCACAGAGGCCTTGACCTCAAAACGCTTGTCAGTTCAAAAACTTAAAAATTCTTTGACCAACAGTCATCAAATTTGGCATGGAGGTTAGTCACGACCATTTGGCGATCCTTATTGATTTTCATGGCACTGGATCAAAGGTCAAGGTCACAGGGGCCTGAAGTTTAAAAAACTTGTACGTTCGAGTATTTAAGAATGATTTGGTCAACAGTCTTCATATTTGGTATAAAGTTTGGTAATGTCTATCAATTTACCCCTATTGATTTTTAGGACACTAGGTCAAAGGTCAAAGTCACAGTGGCCATGGCCAAAAAAGTTTGTCCGCCCAATAACATAAGAATCATTTGACCCACAGTCTTTATATTTAATATTGAGATGAGTCATGATCATTAGATAACCCCTATTTATTTTGAGGTCACTGGATCAAATGTCAAGGTCGCAGGGGCCTGGACCTTAAAAGCTTGTCCGCATAATAACTTAAGAATCCTTTAACCCACAATCTATGTTTGGCATTTAGGTTGATCATGACCATTAGGTGACTCCTATTGATTTTGAAGTCACTGGGTCAAAGGTCAATATCACAGGTGCCTTTAGCTCAAAAAGTTTGTCCGCTCAATTGCTTAATAATGCTTAGGTCAACAGTCTTCATATTTGGTATTCAGGTTTGTTATGAGTAGTAAATATTTCGGTGACTGTGTCAGAGGGTAAGGTCACAGGGCTTTTACTACAATAAGTTTGTCTGCTTAAATGCTTTAGAATGCCTTCCACAGTGTTTTGATTTTGACGCCAGAGGTCAAGGTCATAGGGACCTTGATTCTAAAAAACTTGTCCATCTAGTAGCTCAAGAATGCTTCGGCCCACAGTCTTCATATTTTGCATAGAGGGTGGACATGACCAATGCCCATGCATTTTGGTCATGACTTATTCCCCCTTACAGCAAGGTTGTAAGGAGGACATACTGGAATTAGCTTTACGTCTGTTTAGTGTTACGTGTCTATCCTGAAGTAGTTAAAATCCTTTAACCCTCTGTCTTCATATTTTGAATGGAGGTTGGTCATGACCAGTAAATGATCCCTATTTATTTTGAGATCAGTTGGTCAAAGGTAAATGTCACTGTTTGTCACTAAAACATGTAGAATTCGTATTTAGCAATGCACTCATTTGGCAGGAAGGTAATCCTTGAGCTCTAAATGACCACTGTTGATTCTGAGAAAGTGGTGTGCGGGGTATTCATGCCATGACAGTGGCAGTTCTAGTTTATCTTGATTTTGCACACAAAAAAACTGTTAAAGCAATCAATGGATTATTTTGCTACCTTTAAATAGATTTGTAAAATTACTTAAACTTATGTATGCAGCCCTTTATCTCTGTAGACAATCATAAAAGTCAAATCAGACAAATACATTGAGTGATTCATGTAAAGTGATGTTTAACTGGTGAGTGCTCATGGCATCTTTTTTCGTATAATTGTATGATTCTAAAAAAATAAAGGTTTCGATCATTTTAATACGTATTTAGTGTGTAATTTTGTTAATTTTAAGGCAGCCTTGGTTACAGCATTAGAAAGTATCAGCAGCTTTTCTTATTATTTTCCAAAATTTAATTCATGGAATAGTTAACTACACTGTATTTCGGTCTTACCTACGCTTAGAAATTAAACATGTAAACTGTAAAAAAAATCTGAAATTGACTATGGACGTCAATCGTCACTTTAGATTCCTTTGAAGGAAAAACTTGGGGGATTTTACAAACTCGAAATGTGTGGGAGGGGCATTTACCAGAAGTTTGATAATCCATCCGGGGTGGGGAGAAATGGGACAGAAGCTACAATACGCTGGCATAATTGTATAATTGTTTTGGACGCAAACATTTACTATTTTACATTTTTAAATAGACCAATAAAGTGTTCTGAAATTACTAGAAATCTAACAAATAATTAGCTCAGAAGAAAACAAAAGAAATGAGTATTGTACAATATCATATACATGAAAATTTAAAGAATTTTTTAGATATCAAAAATGTCTCTGTAGCCTTCATGTTTTATGCACAATTGATGAATACTTGTAACTCTTTTATCATCATACGCTGTTATAAACAGAATAAGGTTTTCCCAAATATAGACACAATTTAGGCAATTTCTGTCGACTAACAGCAATCGGATACCAAGTGCTTGTCAGAAATATAACTAGGATTATGGATGACAATGCACAAGTAATTTATTATTAATGATTTATTTTTAAAAATTTAAACTTCACAACTGAGTTTTGTTTATTTCAGAACAAATGCAATGGAACATGAGCAGAAAATCGCATCGTATAAGATTTCTTAGATACAGCAATCCCAACCAAGTCAAGATCTAACTGTCCTCTCACCACTCGCCAGTTCCTTAATATTTGCTGGATATCCTTGTTGATAAACACTTGAAATCAAATACTTGTCTGCTGTATTCCCTTGATGGCGACTTCAAAAGAAATCGGAAAAACGAAAGTAGCATTAGAGATATATTGTGATCCATGTAAGACTGAGGATGAACATGTATTATCTACTGCCGTAAGTTACTGCCGATACTGCAACGAATATTTGTGCCAGACTTGCCACAATGTTCATAAACGATTAAAGGCAACAAAAACTCATTTGGTTAAACTACAGGATGAAATGCCTTTAGAACGTATGTCAAACACAACAGACACGGATCCGCCAGAAAAATGCCTAGCTCACGGGGATCAAGTGATTGATAATTATTGCGTAACACACGAAGAGCTTTGCTGCCTGCAATGCTTAGCTACAAATCATAAGACCTGTGAAGATGTTCGAAATATTAAAGATTATCTTTATACTTTCGACTTTCAACAAGAGGAAAACCAAATAGAATGTAAAATGCGACAACTAGCCGACGAAGTGGATAAAATAATGTACCGTGTCAATTCAAGCCTAAAAGCCGTTGACTATTACCATAGTAAAGCTCAATCTGAAATGTTAAATGTGAAACATTCTGCAATTCATCATATAGAAAGTCTATATAAAGAACTTGTTAAAGAAGTAAACAGAATGAGAGAAGAAGATTTGAAAAGAATCATGCAGTATAAACATAAATGCGATGCTATAACATTTGACATGAGAACAATAGGTTCTTACTTAAGCGGAAAGAAGAAATCCAGTGGAAACCAATTATTTTTTGCAATGAAAAATATCGATGTGAAGATTAAGTCAAATTTACGGGATTTGACGAAAGTAAAATGTATTGAACATTATAATATTACTAGATATCTTTTTAAGCCGGATGGTAAACTAGATAACCTGAAGTCTCAACTAAGTAGTTTTTGGTCAATACAATCAGATTCTAATGTAATAAAATCAGCTTCAAAAGTTAGAAGTTTGTACGTCAAAGACGACGACGATGAGGAAAACTGCTGCATAACAGGAATTGCATTATTAGCAAAAGCACGTATTGTTTTGGCTGATAATAACAATTTGAAATTGAAATTATTTCATATGGAAGAAGATAAGTTAGTGTCAAAAATAGAATATGAATCAGCACCATGGGATGTTACATGTGTTTCCAATAGTCGAATAGCTGTTACATTCCCAGACCTGGAAATAGTTGAGTTACTATCTATCGATGGTACTTCCGAATTAACTAGAGAACAAGACAATTGTCGTATAACATGCTCAGGAAAATGCTATGGGATAACCAGTTCTAATGATACGGTCATTGTTACCGTCAAGACAGATGATGAGACAAGAAAAATTGAGCGGTATAAGTTAGATGGTTCATTACTGTTATCGGTTGATGTCGATGTCAGAAATCCGCAATATGTTGTCTGTTATGAGGATGAAGCAAGGACATATATTTCAGATAACACTGAAAATGAATATATTGTAGAAGTATCAAGTGATAACTTCACAACGCTTGGTAAATTTAATTCATGTAGAGATGAAGTAACAGGCATGACGATAGACAAAACAGGTCTTCTGTACTATTGTGATTCATACTACCATGAAATAGATTTAGTCAACTTAAACAAAGAGCAAGCTGATGAAAGAAAACGATATGAGCTAATTTCGGACAAAGAACCTAGCCCAAAATGCTTAGCATTTTGTAATGATACCAAACAACTATTTGTTGGTTTGGATGGAAATGAGATAAAGATATACTCTGTGTTTTAATAAAATGCTTCCAAGGTACCGGTATTTGTCCACTCTAATGATAATTTAACTGGGGTGTTAAGTTTACCTTAACTATTTTGATAGTTAAAGTGGAGTTATACTAGTATCTCCCCTGTTGTTCATATTGTTCATTCATGATAGGTAATAAAAAAAATTGATAGCCATGCAGGCGTAATATCTGTAAATGAATTTCAAGTTTTGTTACTTTTGGCTGATGAAACAGTTTTATTTTCATAAACTGTAGACGGACTAACGACATGCTAATTGTTCAAAATGGAATATATCTTTGAATAGATGTAATATGTAAATTGAGTAATAGACAAGAACACATTGGTGTATAATATGATATGATAGTACACAAATACTTTTAGTAAATTTTTGTTATGTGCTCGTTACTTTGATTGCTAATGACAAATTTTTAGTGTTCATAAGGCTTTATTCAAACAAGTTTTGAATACAGTTTAGATCAAAATTCTTTGTTTGATATTGTTTCAATTGGTATATGTAAAATCTTTAGTAATTTGATTAACAAAGCCCCGCATATAAGTTATATTATTTTTTTTTTTTTAATTTTGAATATTAATTGCTAGACAAAAAATTCAACTGTCTAATCAATCTATGGCTAGCTTGGTGCCTCTTGATATTTCTGCAAGTTTATTTGGTCTCCTGCCACATAAATACACATATGTCTTATGTATGATAAGCTGAACTTGGCTCAGGGCCCTTAGTGTGAAAGATGATATGTGTTTAAATTGTTTATGGAATGATTTGTCCGAAGGTAAACTTATGACTGACCTTCAAGTAATTATGTGTATTTTTCAATTTAGTTTAATCATATATGTGTGCGTGTGCGTGCGTGCGTGTGTGAAATTATATGTATATAATTTGAAAATAATAAATAATTATACATAACTACATTAATATAAATATACAAGGATGGGACTGAAAGTTATAAAAACATTATTGAGCGCCCTCCTGACTGTTATGTTATTAATATTTAAAAATAGATGTTGAAAAAGTAAAGCAAGAGAACGCCTGTATAGTCAGTATTGTCACATTCTTTCGCACTTTAGATACTATGCCCAAACTTAAGTTATAATATTAAATAAAGGTTCTTATATTGAAAACTATTTGTTGTATGTTAATGTCAATAATCACTAATAGGATTTAGACGATCTGCTCATAAACTTGCATTTGAAGAATGAAATTTATTGTACGTTGATAGGAATAATTAGAAATGAATGTTTTTTTAGATAAATATTATTTTTGTACTTCTCTGTCCATTGTATCTATTGTCTCCAAATATTACACTGACCTTGACCAACTATTTAGACATTTCTATCACTGTTCACTTGCAGCCATATGAGTGGTAAAGCATAATGTAAACAGCTGTTTTGTCATCCTTGTATTATAATCTTTGTTTTGCATTTATTTGTGAACAAGTTAAGAAGAAAATTGTTATTTTCCATAGTTTTGAAATTATGATATACAGTTACTTTGTTGGAGAAGCACATAAAAAGCAGTATATGAAAGTACAGGCTTATAAATTAAGGTGTATGAAATGAATAATTTCAAAGTAAATATGAGATGATTTATATTACATAATATTTAAATGTTAGGTATTTTTTCTTCTTAATGACTTATTGGAGGCCGATGTGTTCAGATATTGGTAGACATACTTAAGGAATGTTTATATATGTTTGTATATTTCCATCCTTTTCTCAACTCTTATATAACCACCGTCATCATGTATTTATTTATATACTGAAAAAATAATGAATTGATGTAATTTGCTTGTTATGTTTTGGCACTTTATTAGAACAAAACAATAGAAGAAAAATATATAAGGATAGTTTTAAATTTCACCTTAACAAAATTACGTTTCTTAAACCAGTACAAGTGATGGGGAGCGGTGGCCTAGTAGTTAAGGTGTTTGCCTCTCAACCCAGGGATCATGGGTTCGAGCCCTAATCGGGTCACGACCATGTATCTTCATATGATACCAGTACTGGTTGTTTCCAGGAAGCAGACTCGAGAGTGATTAATATAAGTTGCAACAACTAGTTTCGCAATCGAGTTCAAATAAATATGTTGAAACCAATAAAGTATTTGATTGCAGATGTAACAAAGACATAGCTGAATGATAAAGATGTTTATACAATTAAAATAACAACCAATTAGCTACTAAGTGCGATTTGAATAACACATATATGTTATTAATGTTCAATGAAAGTGAAATTGCAAAGAACTGCTGGTAAAAATCCGACAACATTCAAACGATAATCATTTTCTGTTGTAAAAATGCACAGAGGGGTCATGTTATAACACAAATACAATGTTTTCAGATTTATAGGTATATAATAACTAGGCTACTTTATGATAATGTTATCTGTAGAATTTTTAAATCTTCAAACATTCAGTAGCGTATTCTAAATAAAAGCGTTTGCTTTACACAACATAATTTCATTCCTTTTGAATAATTGTTAACACAATTAAGTTTGCTAATGATTAAGAAGCATTGCTCATTGACTAGCATATAAATATAATGAAGTTCTCATTTCATTTGAATATCTTTAATATTTATTCATATGCATAATAAGTTTTGTAAATATTCTTTAGTGAATTTAGAAAAAGCGACACACGTAAGTTCATTTTCAAATGAAAGTTGTTTGTTAGTATGCGCAAAAAATATCCGTACTTCAAAAGCTTTGTTTTAGATTTTTTTTCACATAATATGTACATTTCTGCTTTAAATACTCTAGAATGATACGATTTGTCCTTGTTATATAGTTGATTTATGCCATTTTGTTGTTTTCCCCTTATTTTATGTATTTGTCTAGCAAAAGAAATATTTAACATTTGTATGTACATATAAACAATTTTTGAATATGATCCTGTGTTATTTTACTTCTTTATCTTATCTGAATAACCATTCTCTCAGTTTAAAGGTCATTTCTCATCGATCAAGTGAAGTAAGTGCATGAAAAATCTGTAAAGTAATTAAAAAGAAATGCTCAGAATAAAATTGAAAATATGATTTTTGTGTGTAATTTGTTGCCCAGTTTGATTGATGAACGTTGCAATGCTTTCACTTGACAATTTGCACACAAGTTCTTGATTCAGACATTCATCATGATGTTAAAAAATCTCGTACCGTCAAGAAAATAAGCTTCAGTTGAGTCCCTTTAACTAGAAAGACATGAAAGACATTTCCAGCTTACATTTACTTAATCCGAGAATACAGTTTCACTTTAATGTATATTGGCATATCCGCATACAATATCCGCCGTTTTTACACGTTTCTTAAAATGCGTGACTCTGGGCCCAATGTTAAAGGAGCTTAACGAACAATGACTGTCCCGGTAGTTTTATTATCAGAACATAACAGAGTATTACGCAATTTTTTAAACGAAATGCAGATAACGAAACGAAGATAAAACTATTTAGAGGCATACTTTTACGATAATTTATAATATCCTCACTCTGCGGACTCTTACTTTAAATGCGTCGTCGTGCTTCTGCAGAAAATGTACATTAGCCTTCTTATATTCTACATGCAAAGAAATTATTAATCTTATATTTTTGTCATGTGAGACAACATAACAAGTGTTGGTATTCGGACTCAAATATTATGAGAACAAATGTTACGTTACTTATGTTCCTATCAATACCGGCATCTTTCCCACTTATAATTTCAATAGGATTGGAGCATAATCTGAGACCAAACGGCTGTTTTCTACCTGTATGTGTATCATCTTTAACATCGTCAATGCGTACATAGATAAAGTTTTAAATTATTTATAGAAGAATAACAGATTGATTCACTACAATATCATTAAAATCTTGTACATATTGGTCTCGTATAGTCAGTATCAAAGATGTAAGCGTTATATAATACATTATCTAATAGATATTTAATATCTGTTTCTCGTGTTACTATTAACAAATTACCTTATTCTCTATATACTATTAGTAAGTGAATTTTGTGATTCATTTATCTCTACCACCAAGCACGCTCGTTGCAAATGATAGAAACGGGGAAATTCCTAAGCTCTACAAGGACAGCAACATTTGATATTTTAGAACGAACCCCATAAACTTTTACAGAACGTGAGATGAATTTTGTTAATTGTTTTCTAATAAACAAAATCAGATCATAAATCATATTTCAGCATCTCGAAAAATTATGCGTGTAACCAGGAAGTCAAACTAGGTAAGTTTTAACATCTATCTTAATTATGATAATAGTTTATTTTAAGCATTTAGAGCTTGGTCATTCAGTGCCTTTTCAGCATTTATCATGCAGTCTGGGAAGTATTTTACCTAACTGACGGAGCGTTTTGATTTTAATTTTCTTGACATTTGTATATTTACAAATAACTTATATGATTATGAAGTGTCTAAAATGTTATACATATATATCAAATATTAAACAGAAGAATACCAGCTAGTATGTGATACGGTTTCAATTCTCTGTGATTTAGTTTGTATGATGTATTTTTTCAAACAAATGTTTTTATAGGTTCATATATCTTATGTCAAAAATCTTTATAACTAATAATAAAAAGTAACTTAATATATGGGCACATGAATAATGCAATTTATTGAAATATCAAGTCATGTGACATATACATTTATAAAAAACATACTATAAATAGTAACATACTATAGAGCATGTAGAGTACTTTTTTCTTCAATAAATGCCATAATTAGTGTAAATAGTAAATAACATAGCATTAAAAGTTCATTCCTTAATTAAAGTGTAAAATAAAAAGTTACACATCACTAATAAGACTATCATATTCCGACTTTTGATCATCGTCGACCTCGGTAAATGGTAACAAGTTATTTCCATTATAACTCTTATAACCGGATTCATTCGGTTTGTTGATTATAAACTCCTTCAATTCAATAGGGATTGAACTTTGTTTCGAAGAACCATTTTGACTACCATGATCAAGGATGCAATGTGTCACATAGTCATTATTATCATTATCAGATTCGCGTATAAGATCAGTAAGTATTTCATTTGACTCGATCTTTGCAGAAATTAGGCGGTTTTCTAGTAGAATCAATATAAATGGTCCAATGATAAGTTGTCCTATGCCAGATCCAAGAAGGATAGAAAAAATAGTCTAAAAAGATTAAAGAAAGCAATCACACAAACAACTGCGAAATATATAAACTTACTTCTTGCCTATGTTTTGAAATGCTTTGAGTGGAACTGCTTCGTATGCGATGACGTCATGGTGTCTTCACGAATAACTGTTCTTAATGGTAGAAGGTGCATTGAGAAATAACATTGAATAAAATGTGTTGCATCATTTCACTATACATTAAATAAGTAATTACTTGATTCCTTATAGTAAGGTCGACTATTTGACGAATTGAGCCCGGTGTCAACGTCAACATTGCTTTCACATTTTCATAAAATCTTTGCGTGCAAGTTGATACCAGCATAACTATTTAAGGGAATTGGTTGTCACACACTTGTTCTCTATGACCATCTGTCATGAGGGGCACATGTTCCATAACTCTAGTCTAATTATCTGTACAGAGTAATGTCCCTCTTCTTACTTACAAGCACCGAGAATAGAACAGTTCTTTGCTATCTTATAAGGAGTAACGAAATAAAAAAAAATATAGAAAAAAACAACAACAGGAGAACCGCTTGTAACTCTTTAGCTCAATTCGTATCCAAAAATATTATGGTATACACTCATTATCAATAAGCAGTACTTAATTACTTTCAAAATAAAAGTATTGGTATAGTACTGGTATTTGTACTGATACCGCATATGTTGACAAATACTGGTACTGATATTTAAGTAGTATATACCCCTATTACTAATTATGCATTTCCTATTGTGTAGAATAGTAGTTTAGGTACTACAATAAACCGCTTGTCCCTTTATCATTGTAAATAATGCTTAAAACAAAATACCGAGTGCATCGACAAGGCAGGAGTCTGATTAACGTGATTCTACAATGCCAAGGTTACCATCGACAGAACAGCGCCAGGTTAATGTGTCCCTTTACCATCTGGGCCTACCGAGTGATCCTCGTCAATTAGGAAGTTGAGATGTTGTAAGATGTCATCCAGTCTTACTCCTAGATTTTACGCAGGGTTAAAAGTTTAATGGGCCCATCTGGCGATAAAAGAATGAGGCAAACTGACGTTCTGACTGAAAGGACAAACTTTTCTTCGAGAGTCACGTGTGGAAACACTAAGCCGTATGCACTCATTGAATAGATCACGTTCCTAAATGCCAAAACATAACAAGCAAATTACATCACAATTGATCAGTCATACACCAATTCATTTTTTTTTTCAGAATATAAAATTAATAGATCTACATGTTCACTGTCTTTAACATGATGGCGGTGGTTATATAAGCATTGAGAAAAGCATGAAAATATAGAAACATATATAAACATTTATCATCAAATCGTGCTTAGAATGTCTACCAATATCTGACATCGGCCTCTGATAAGTCATTCAGAGGAAACAAGATCTAACATTTATATATTCAGTTATATAAATCACTTCTTATTTACTTTGAAATTGTTCATTTCAGACACCTTAAATTTATAAGACAGTGTATTCAAATATTGGCTTATATGTGCTTCTCCAACAAGGTAACCATGGTTACCATAATTTCAAAAGTATAAAAGATAATAGTTTTCGTCGTTATTTGTTCACAAATAAATCCAAAACAAAAGTCATAACCAAAGGATGACATAACAACTGTTAACTTTATGCTTTACCACTCATATATCAAGCTAGACTGGCTGCAAGTTAATGGTGATTGAAATGTCTAAATACTTGGTCAAGGTCAATGTAAATTTGGGAGACATTCACTTGTAGTGATTCGATACAATGGACAGACAAGTACAAAAATAATATTTATCTTCTATAACATTCATGTCCAAGTAGTCCTATCAATATACAATAAAGGCCTTTCTGTTATGCAGCAGTTTTCCTCATCGTCGTCTTCTTTGACGTGCAAACTTCTAACTTTTGTAGCTGATTTTATGTTTACATTAGAATCTGATTGTATTGACAAAAACGTCTTAGTTGAGACCTACGGTTATCTAGTTCACCATCCGGCTTGAAATGATATCTAGTAATATCAAAATGTTCAATACATTTTACTTTCGTAAACATCGATCTTCACATCGATATTTTTCATTGAGCAAGTTTTTTATATATACTTTCAATATGATCAATGGCAGAATGTTTCACTTTTAACATTTCAGATTGTGCTTTACTATGGTAATAGTCAACGGCTTTTAGGCTTGAATTGACACGGTACGTTATTGTATCTACTTAATCGGCTAGTTGTCGCATTTTTCATTATATTTTGTTTTCCTCATGTTGAAAGTTGAAAGTATAAAGATAATCTTTAATATTTTGAACATCTTCACAGGTCTTACGATTTGAGCTAAGCATTGCGGCGTGTGATACGCAATAATTATTAATCACTTGATCACCGTGAGCTAGGCATTTTTTTCTGAGAGGTCTGTGTCTTTTGTGTTTGACATGCGTTCTAAAGGCATTTCATCATGTAGTTTAACCAAATGAGCTGTTGTTGCTTTTAATCGTTTATGAACATTGTCGCAATGTTGGCAAAAATATTCGTTGCAGTATGGGCAGTAACTTACGGCAGTGGATAATACATGTTCATCCTCAGTCTTACATGGGTCACAATATATCTCTAATGCTACTTTCGTTTTTTCCGATTTCCTTTGAAGTCGCCATTAAAGGTATACAGCAGGCAACAATTTGATTTCAAGTGTTAATCAACAGAGATATCCAGCAATTAAGAAGGAACTGTTGAGTGGTGAGAGGACAGTTAGATCTTGACTTGGGATTCTGCGGTTGTCTGCTC